CGAGGGCGAAAAAGTAAAGCTAAAAAGATTTGGGAAAGCAGTCTTCGTTGTATTGCAAGTAATCGTCGTTATTAGAGGACTTCTGAAGTTTCTCATTCGGGCGGTTGGTTCAGAGGATGCCCAGCTACAAGAAGTGCACGCAGTGGATATATGAGCAGCCTGACGTGGTAACATATTTGTATTGATGGCGACTACTAGATCCCCAGCGTTAATCAAGATCGTGGTGAATATAGTTGAGAAATACAATAGATACGATGAGTACCATGACTTCAGCTGGAATAGAATGTCTCCGCCTTGTTTCTTTGTAGCTTTTCTTTCTAGAGATCCTGTTAAAGTTGTATTCGGCTAATTACCACGAAACTTCGGTCTTTCTATACTTACGGACAATTGTCTACTCCTACCTCTCACTCCACAGAGCGCATAATGCCCGTCGCAGCAAACATCGTCCAAATACCCGATTGGCAATGCGCAAGCTACGCAGTGTCATCTCAACAAGACCAACAGCTTCGTTCCTTAAAGCAATTATACGCAGCTATTCTCTCGCTCCCGGAGGACATGGAGGCACTGAAAGAAGTGCGTGCGATGTTCCTGGCCAAGTGACTGCATGCGTGCGAGACCACTCTGAAGTACCGCTACGCCACCCCCGATACCAACTTCGCCGACAACTTCAATTACACATCCCAGCTATACCAGTGCTACACCGACTAGAAAGACATCAATAACACCCCGCAGTACCTCAAGGTCACGGTCCCCTTCAACTAGCTCCCCGTTGTGCCTACCGCGGGCACGGATAGGAAGAACAAGTCAAGCAGCATTGCGATTCTCAAGGGCAATAACTACGATGCAACCATCATGCTCCTCAATAAGGACATGGTGTACGTAGTTAAGAGTGAAGACGATAAGGTTAATCTGTTCGCCTGAGGGTCGGAGTAAGAGTGAGACGGAGTCGCGGATGAAACTGCAGCTATACTACATAATCTGCTGGGAGAAAGACGGTCCTCAACTTTGGAATCAAGTTTTTTAACGAGTCTATATTTGTTGTGGCTGCGATGTAACTATATCCTCTTCTACGCACTCTACGGTCTAGCACTTAAACACCGCCGGCCCCGGACTACTATAAGTCTTACTCCCCGTATACAAATTAAACAGAATCCCCGCATCATTCTGCTTATACGCCCCCGGAAAGCTCACCGTACTCGGCGTCCTACTCGCCTCACCCCCCGTAACATTAATCTGCGCACACTCCATATAAAACTGCGCACCCATACTACTACTCGCGCTATGCAGCGCAATCAGCTCTCCTCTCAAAAGATACTGCCCAGGCGCAATGCACTTTGGAATAGTAATCGTCTGAACACCTTTATTGGCGATCAAGCGATCAACACCCCATTTGGAACCATCAAACGCGTCTTCAGCGATCTTGAACCAGCCGCCGCCGACGCCGGAGTCGGTTTTGGCGTCGCTGACTTTCTTCATGTAGGCCATTACGGGGCCTTTGTGCGAGGAGTCGATTACGTCAGAGGGACCGGAGGTGAGGGTGTGGCGCCAGGTTAGGGTGGCGGTGGAGCCGGCTTGGAGGGTTATGACGGTGGAGGTTTTGGCGGTGGGGTTGGGGCCGCCGTTGCAGACTATGTCGTTTGTGGAGACGTCGTTGATGGGCTGGGTGGAAGTTAGATGGGGGAAGGGATGGATTGGGGGTTTGGGGTGCGTACGCCGTCGTAAGAGGGGACGCGGACACCATCTCCTACTGCGCCGCCGTTGACGCTGACGAAGATTGTGTGGGCGGATGCCGAGCTGGCTGCAGCAGCGAGAACGAGTGGGGTGGAGAGCTTCATTGTGATGGTTGATGTTGGTTCGAGTGGAGGTGGTTGATGATTTAACGTTGCTGAAGCCGGGGTACTTATAAACAATGTCTTCGCCCTGACGTTCAAGATCTGAACCCAGACCCAAGGTTTACTTATATTGCATGCTTGGTGATATCGCATACACATTTCCAGATGCGAACAAGCCTACATTCTGCACCCCAGATGAGCGGAGCATTTCCTTCGCGTCCACCAACCGCATCGCGAGCCGCCGCGGCAAAGGCCTGAAACCGCAACGCTATACCAGCCAAAACCCGGATGAGAAAGGCCGTGTCGCTGGAGTTGTCACGCGATTATATTAAGCAATGTAGAGCGTGTGTCGAATGTTCTTAGAAGTCCTAAGCGAGGTTGTCCTTAGCCAATGGCTTAGCCGTGCGTAAATTGAAGGCGCCAAGCCCCCCGAGGATAGAGTGCCGCCCCATATAAAGAGGCTTGCTTGTGACCTGGTTGACTTGTCGGCGCTAGTGGGAAAGTGCCGACCGGATCGCGATGTATGGGTGATTATCGGGAAGATGGACCGCCTAGGATGCGCTCAAGCAAGCGTGATGTCTTGAAGCTCAATGTCTTCCTTGGCCATCGCTTCGCCTTTCATTATGCCATGGACGTAAGCTTCACCAAGCAACTCAAACTTCTCAACAACTCCTTCGACTTGCTGCTTCCTGATGACGAAAGGTATACATGCCCTATCGAAGACAGCGAGCCCATCACCGACTTGCGCACCCCTCGGCACCAATGCAAAGTAGCCCTTCTCGGTTACAGCAAAGCGGCGCATCTTCAACGCGGCCCGGTACGCCGTTTGCAAGTCTTCCAGGGTCTTTGCCGGCTTCCTGGTCTTGAGACTGGCCAGGTTGAAGTGACCCTTCTGCCGCCGCTGGCTCATAGTCTGACCAGGTAAGCAAAGGTTCTTGCCTGTCGTGGCATCTAAGATGAGTCCGAATACCTCGCTGTGATCCGCATCAGGTGGTGCCACGCCAGAGCCATCGCGTCCTGCCAGTAGTGTGTGTAGAAAGGCGTCGTATGTTGAACTACCTTGTAAAAGGTATGTGTGTGTTCGACCAGCGCCCATGATAAGCTCAGCGTAGGATGCTAGATCACGATTGACCCGTTGCGGATCATCGATGTCCAGGACTGGGTCTTCGCTAACACTGCCTAGGATAGTGATGGTGTCGAATGCTTTACCGTTGAGAGTGATCTCTTGCTTATCCTCGCTCACGATAGCCTTGGGTGGCTGCGCGCCTGTGACGGGCCTACCACCCGCGCAGTATACAGCCCAAGATCTCGTCGAATAGCCAAGCACGTCCGTTACGCGTGGGGTGCTCCAGTCCGGGACCCAAGACGGCTGAAGCGGGTGTTCGTGATCGACACAGCTTAGCAGTTCGTAAATGCGATCGGGTACTTCTGTCAGACAGGCCTCGTGATAGACCGCTCTCGCAGAAACATCGGGATTGTAGTCGGGTACGATGTTGGCATCTACTATACCCAGCACACCGTAGATCTTGTCTTTGGGGTTTGTCGCTTGCGCATAACGTGTAGAAACCAGAATGGTCAGTAATGCTTCTTTCGTAACGATTGTCAGGCCATGTACGCGCTCTGCCTGAACCGAGTTTACAACGCCAGCACCGTGTGGCGGTAATTTCTTGACATCTGCTTTCGTGTTGTACTTCTCATCCAGCTCAGCGTTACTAGTCAGCCAGCTGAGCACATGCGTTTCTGCCAGATCATGACACCACGCAGCAAAGTCGTCCCAGCACACCTCAACCTTGCCGCATTTGACGAATAGCTGTCTCGAAAGCACGGCTTCCTGGATAGTCCACAGTCTGCCGAACCAGGGGCGGCGCAAGACTTGACGAACAGCCCACCATGCTCGATCGAGGCCAGATGGAAAGTCCAATCTCTCAAAATCCGCTGGCGTCACTTGCGCATCGGTCCCTTGCAGCCGCACGAACACAGTCTCCATCAAATCGAACGCAAGAGCCGAGTCCTCTTCACCATCATCACCGAGCCATATGAGCGTGTTTGTAGCATGTGTGTAGACCAAGCCCATCAACGGGATCTGCTGCACCTTCTCCGCAATGTCGGGCTGATTGATGCATATTTGATCCGTCCACAAGACAACGCTATGCTCAGTCGATCTCAAGTGGTTCAAAGCTCCCGCCAGGCTTGCGGAGATGTTCAACTGGCCATGTTCGAAAGAAATGGTATCTTCGAAGATGGGTGTACCCCAAACGTAGCTGAGGGCAGTGTACCAGACCGGCTTGCCTGTAGTGAGTGAAACAGCATGATTGGTATGTCTGGTGTACGTCAAGGTTCTCCTGCTTGTGTTTGCTGGATTGTCAAATGGCTGGGTGTATTGCTCCTCTCTTGCAGGGTGCGAAAAGTCGATGCTGACGATATGTAGAGTGCCTCGCAGCGGACCTCCGGGCTCTCCAGGATGCAGCTCCAAGACGCGAATTTCGCCATCTCCAAGAGACTGGTAGAGCTGTGATGGTGGTTCATGCGGTGGATCGCCACGCTGGCTCCACTTCTGCACCACGAAATCGTGGATGTGAGTTTGAGCGATCTCATCGAGCTGACCGTCTACGCCGCCGGGTCCTTCAAAACTAGCAGCCTGGAAGATGGATGTTTTGGAAAGCGCAGAGAAGAAACAGTTGCAGTCATCTGATGCATGACAAGTCAGTAAGCGATATCGGCGGTATGAGTTGGGGTGGAAGCACTGCACCTAGCGCGTTCGTCGCGCATGGACACGTCGAGGCATGCTCGATATGCTGGTACGATTTCTGAGGATTAGCCATGGTGTTGTGGTGTTGCTGGCGTGAGAAAGGAAGTGAGGTGGCAATTTCAGCAGGTACGACATTTGGGACTAGGCCCGACTGGGAGTGGGGGCAATTGCGACAGAGGCAGGAGGTGGTAACAACAAGTGTATGAGAATTAGTAATTCCTCTATATTACTGTGTTGGCGTTAATGAAGTGCTATGAAGACATGTATTGGCTGCTTCGCGTACCTTTGTAGCGCTACCAATGAAGTCGAAGTTCTACCTTGCTTCAACCATACGTTCGCTGCATGCTCACGATGAGCAGCTCTCCAGGATTAGCACAGTCAGCGTTCAGCTGAACGACCAGTCACCACATATTGCCGCTTCAATCCAGTCCTAAGAACTGCGTGATGCCATGGCCCTTGGCTTGTCCGCCCTTGCCCTTCTTTCTCCTCTTGCGCGTCTGCTTGGGCTCATCGTCCTCACTGCTGTCGTCCATGTCCTTATCGCTATCGTCGCTGTCCTCGCTTTCGTGATCTCGCTTGCCGTTAGTGGTCTCCTCGTCGTCTTCGTCCACGTCCTGCCAGGTCTGCTCGCCCCAGACCTTGACGGTCTTTCCACCACTGCTGATCATGCGGCCGGTGACGTCGAAACCCAGACCAATGACGCTCTCCTTGGCCAGCTCGTCGTGCTTGAGCTCTGCGACAACCTTATTCGGGCCGAGCTTGGCAAAGCGAATGTCTCCGTTGCCCAGGCCTACGGCGATGTGCTTTCCGCCAGGTCCAACGCCGTCTGGTACGACAGTGAGGGAGTCGAGGCTCTCGCCGCCTCCCTTAGAGCGGTCGACGATGATGCGCTCATCTTGGTCATCCCAGACTCCGCGCTCCCAGAGTGTTAGAACACCGTCGCCTGCACCCACAATGACCTTCTCGCCTACGCTTGAGCCCTTCTTTGGTAGACCAGTCACGATGCACGAACTGAGCAGCTCTTCTTCCTGGTCCTCACTCCGGACCATGACGCCTCTTCGCAGATCCGTGACGGCCAGTGTGCTTCCTCCCGTTGTGACCCATTGCTTGGCCCAGCCGCTGGTACTCGCTTGCGTGGGCGGTAGAGGTGTGAGGGAGGAGACGTAGTCGTCGTGGGGGCGGTGTGTGTTCTCGGGCTTTAGGGAGACTTTCTCGCCGCCCTTGAGGTTCCTAATGTCGTAGATGTGCAGTGAGCCCGAGTCGGTGGTGAGGATGAGGGATTGCGGTGAGAGCCCGTAGACGAGGGTAGGCGCATCGATGCCGCCATTCGCGCTGTCGGTGTCAGTGTCGCTCACGTGATTGCTCGTGTCTGTTGTACTCACGGATCCAGCGGTACACAGATCTTGGCCGTGACCTGGCCAGTCATGCAGTCTGCGACCTTGATCATGCCATCTGTGCCTGCCGAGTAAAGCGACGTGCCATCGACGCTGTATCCGAGTGTCCGACAGCTGCCCTTGTGTCGCCGTGTGTCCCAGAGCTTGTCTATGGTGCCGAAGCCCTTTTCGGAAGCTATCGTCTCGTCATTGTCGTCGTCGTCGCTTGCGCCCGAGGGCAGCCTGAAGGTCTGCACATGGCCGCTAGCCAAGCCAACCGATATGATAGGCTCCTCTGGGTGGATCGCCTGCACAAAGATGTCGTGCTCCACCGGGAGCGCGCACAAGTTCTCGAACATCTTGGGCTTAAAGATGATGCGGGAGTTGGTTGAATGCATTTCGCGACAGCTACAACTGGAATTTTTGTGGGGCCGCGGCTCAGCTCTTGCAGGGCAGGTGCAGCCGATGGCCTTGGCAGGTACACACACACATGGCGGGCTTTCACCTTCCTGCGAGATTCCAACACCTCTTGCACTTGCGCACAGTTTAATCACATTGAACCTCACTCGAACTTCTTCCTCCAACATGATTACGACGCTTCACATATTCACTCGGAGCTGGTTAGAAAGAACATCGGCAAACTCCCGACCGTGTCATTGAACACGACCAGGTTGCCCATCCTGATTCCTGGAGAGTCTAGCATCTCAAAAGGTCTAATCCTCCAATCTTCCATCTCATCCAAAAGAAGTTGGATGGCACCGTAAACCGGGTCTACGGACCACAAGTGCGTCCTTCACAGCATCGTGAACTTCTTGAACGAACATTCCCTTCCAATCACGGCCATGCCATACGACACGCTTCTTCTCCACCGGGTCTTTGATCTTCATTGCCCCATCGCAGCTAGTTCTTGGCCAACGACGCGACAGGAAGGTCAGCGTTCTTCGCTATGCGTTAAGCCTCGTCCGGCAATGCAGCCGAATCACGTTTGTCAATGATTGGCTGTGAACATCATCAACATCTCCAACCATGTCCGCCGCTGTACAATCGGAGCAAAGACGTCCGACATCATGTACGTCTTAAAGAGAAGCCGGGAACCGTCGTTCATCCAAACAGCAGGCGTTGTATCTACCTGCAGTAATCGTATTCCTAATCCGCCATCATGCTTGCATCATCGCTTCTATACGGTCTTCTGACCGCCGCATCCTCAGTCAGCGCATACCACCACGCAAAATCCATCAACTACACCGTCGTAACCGGCATCTTCCAACAAGACGAGCCCTCCACCGACCCCTCGACCTTCAACTTCCTCACCAGCAACTTCGGTCTAATCAACCGGACCTACCCCAGCGACTCTTCCTGCCCAGACCGCAAGCACTCAACCCAATGGCAGCGTCTCGCCCACTACATTTCCACCCTAAACAAGAAGGCACCGCGCAATGAACGCTACGCTCTCTTCTTCATGGGCCGCCACGGCGAAGGCTTCCACAACGCCGCAGAATCCTACTTCGGCACCCCAGCCTGGAACTGCTACTGGTCTGAACTCGACGGCAACGGCACTGTTACCTGGGCCGACGCTCAACTCACCATCGATGGCATCGAGCAAGCGAAGGTAGTCAACAAGTTCTGGAGCCACCTCATCAAAGACGAGAAGATCACCCCGCCTGAGACTTTCTACACAAGTCCCTTGTATCGCTGTCTCGATACCGCGAAGATCACTTTCGAAGGCGTTAAGCTGCCGAAAAAGAACCCCTTTGTGCCTGTTGTCAAGGAATTTTTGCGTGAGGGTATCAGCGCGCATACATGCGATCGCCGCCACAGCAAGTCGTTCATCAAGAAGAACTTCCCTGGCTTTAAGTTCGAAAAGGGTTTCGCAGAGGAAGACCCATACTGGACTGAACTCTTCGCTGAACCGCGCGCAAATCAGGATGCTCGCTCAAAAGCTGTGCTTGATGATATTCTCAGCAATGATGATAGTACTTATATCTCCATCTCCTCGCATTCGGGCGAGATTGGTAGTTTGCTTCGTGGTATGTCACCGTCTCTTCAATGTCGTTCCAACATCTCAGTACTAACGAAACCCCAGTTCTTGGCCATCGCGAATTCCGTCTTTCGACTGGTGCTGCTATCCCGGTTTTGGTCAAGGCATCTACGCTTAACGCTCCTCCGCCTGCTACTACAACGCTGCCGTATACACCGCAGAAGACGTGCGCGGCGCCGCCTGCTATCCGCGACTCGAGCTGCAATGACTGCTCGTGCTGCACTTGAGCGCATTGTTTAGTTCCGGATGTAGACTGAAATAGCTATAAATTCCGATACAATTTACTCCACGATCTCAGCCACCCAGATTCCAAGCTCTTGCACCCGTGTTCCAGACCTCCCTCTTTCCCAACGTTGACCCAGATTCATCTCGTTTCCCTGCCGTGTCGATGTCTTGGATCTTGGCTTTCACTTCCATATGAGTAATCATGCCCATTCGTGGAAACACGGAGAGAGTTACGTTGTGAATCTCACTCACCACTTGGCAGATGCCGCACGTCACCGGTGTCAACTCCGCCTGAACACGGGGTACATTCTGCATAGTGCACCGTGTAAACATGTCACTCCCAGCTCCCAAACATGTCACTCGCTCATGTCTATCCCGATACCCTGATTTCCTAGCGCCTTCATGCACGATCAACTCCCTAACCTACCTAACCTACTAACCCACTAACCTCGTTCTCAACGGCTGGCTACCCAGCCACCGAACTCTAAAACTCTATGCTCCTCTCAGCCTTCGGCATGTCACAGATCGTTCAGATGATTAATCCTGGCCGATTGGCTCCCTGCCTATCGACCCCGTCGGTGTTCGTTGTTCCCTGCGTACATCTAGTTCGTTGGCGTCATTGTGGTTTCACTTGCCACCTTGGATACACTATACTACCAACCTCCACCACGCAGGTTACAGTAACACGCTGCAGTAACAACCCTCTTCCCTGCTCCCTGCGTGCATGCCCAACCCTCCTGAACATCCCATCACAGCACACCATCGGACCTTTTCATCTAGTCTAGCCGGTGCGCACCTCAGACGCTGACGATGATCTTAGCGATGATCCTAAAGAGCTAGATGGGCTAGGCGGCCTAGGTCCCGCGTTGAGGCCAGACTGGCGGGTGGTACACTAATACACTAATCCAGTAGCTAGGCGTTATAATCGCTGTGAATCGGGCCTTTTGTCGCACTTCCGCGCTTTCGCGCTTTCGGACTTTCGGGGTCTGGGCGGGCTACTGTAGTGGTAGTGGTAATGGTAGTGTTAGGGAGGGAAGCGCGATAGATGATAGGTCAATTGAGACGGAACGGTAGGAACCGCCGTTCGTAAGTCTAGGTGATTTGAAAGGGTTCTTTTGTGGAGACTTTGTAGATGGATGGTTGTTAGAGGGGTGGTGCGGCGGTCACCGGTCGGGTGGTGTCGGCAAGCTTGGGGTTGGAAGTGGTTGCGATGGAGACTGGGAGGTAGTGGTAGAGGAGGGATGGGATCAGTAGGGGAGATGGAAAGATGATGCCGGTACATGGCGTGATGGTGAGACGACAGTGGCGGTCAGAACAATGTCTGGCGATGTCATAGCGATGAATGATGGCGCTGCACGTAAGCTTACTCCCCCTCCCCTGCTGAAGTGGTCTGAGGCTCTGCGGCAGTTGTGGACTTGGTAACGACAAACTCCCTTCCTTTTCAAAGTGCGGCAAGCGTAGTGTTTCGAGACAAAAAAGCTAGCCTTGAGGTAGCGCATCGCGATATCTTTGTCGACGTCATTACAATATCTAGATAGTCAACATCCGGTAGACCACCCATGTCACAAATCGATTCCGCAACGTGCGTTAATATTCTCAGCGTTTCTTATTAAGTAAATTACTAGTATATACAGGGGTATTTCAAAATGTCATGTCGCTCTTTCTCTTTGCTAATGTACAGGGATGGGGGTATACAAGAAATCAAGAACAAAGGCCGTGAGCCGTGATGCGGCAGTTGGTGTCGTCGCTTCCCTGCCGTGGTACCTGCCGTGGTATATTCGAGTCAAGTATAATCTAGACGCGAGCCGCTGTGGGGCGGTGTGCCTTCCAGACGAACCCAGAGAGTCAGACGGAACCTGGCCTTTTTTTCTCTCGCAGTGCTCGGTAACTGCGATTGCCGAGGCAGGTCGTTCGCATACTTTTTTCGGGTTCACGATGGGCTTTTTTGGTGGTGGAGTGCGGCTGTGGGGTTTGCTTCTTCGCGCACGTGGAAGGACCACGGTGGTGGGACTGCGGCGCTTAGACATATCTGGGTCGTTGATGATAGCGGCTGGGAATACGACTATGAGTGTGTGAACGCCATCACCACCGCCGTTCGGAGACGGCATTGAGGTCATTTCGTTCACGGTACTCCGTTTCAGCTTGATCTGAAGCAAAGAGGAGCTTGCCGACGCGGCAAATATCTCCTTCGCGACGTAAGCCACATCGCATGTCTTCGTGATGACAAATGGAAAACGTTGAAAGTGGGTATATTGCTGAAACTCATCATCTGTAAGGCGCAGACAAAACCGATCCCCGCTCTTCATCCGTGATGTAAAATGACTTGGAGACCATAATGCCGTTCTGGAAATGGTCCTCTTCCGCACTGCTCCGAGCACTCTTGATCCTCAGACTCCTTTGACTGTCGTTGTCGGAGTTGTCCACACGCGTACTTTTCTTCGAGTTTGGTGGTGCTTTTCCGCCGTACCATTTATTCGAATTCGAAACGGGTTCGTCGTCGGAAGTGCGAGTTTGTACGGTGGCGGAGAGTTTGTACATGTCGGGACGGAGCTTGTCGGCTTTGGAATTTCCAGCGGCGTTGCCGGGTAAGGGGGCGGACATGCCGTATGCGGACGGACGGTAGGCTCCAGTTGGGCGTGTGGAGAGACCGAGCTTGTGCATGGCGATGAAGAATAATGGGCGGAGCGTTGCAAGGCTACCGGCGGTGATAGCGAGACCTTGTTCGACTGATGACCAGATGGCGATGTCAAGTGTGGACCCTGACAGCATTAGTACCCAGTGAATGAGCAGCGGTAGGGAGACATACAGAGGAAGTCAGGAGAGTTGAAGTAGTGAACGAAAGGCATGCGCGCGATGACCGCAGCACTTGCGATGCACCCCATAGTGATCAACGGGATCAAAGCAACCTTGGTCCTCCTCTTCAACTGCAGGTGCCATACCAAGAACCCCGGAATGATAGCGAAGGTAAAGTCGGTGATGATACTGAAGATACTGTAGACGTAGCCGAGAGCGGTGATGACTGTGTTGTCGACGCACTTTCCTTCTTGCGAAGTGCGGTCCCACATGTACGAGATTGGGTAGCACTGGAAGAGACAG